TGGGGGGGGGGTGAGTGGGTAAAGTTATAAGGGTTGTTATCGGGGGCTGATGGGGGGTGCCGGGGTTAGATATGGGGGTACTGTAGAAGGTTATGATGGAGGTACCGCAGTTGGAGGGTGGTACCGGGGAAGGTTATGACAGTGGGCACCAGGTTAGGAACGGGAGCGCTGGGGAAGGTTATAATGGTTGGTACTGGGTATAGAATCGGGGGCGGACTGGGGAAGGAAATAATGGGGAGTACCGGGGTTGGATGGGGGGCTACCAGGGAAGCTTTTCACAGTTGGTACTGGGGTTGGATGGGGGGGTACTAGGGAAGGTTATGAGGGTGCATACCGGGGTTGGATGAGGGACAATGGGGAAGTTTATGATGGGGGGTACCGTGGTTGGATGGGGGTCACTGGGTAAAGTTATAACGGTTGTTATCGAGGGCTGATGGGGGGTACCGGGGTTAGATATGGGGGTACTGTAGAAGGTTATGATGGAGGTACCGCAGTTGGAGGGTGGTACCGGGGAAGGTTATGACAGTGGGCACCAGGTTAGGAACGGGAGTGCTGGGGAAGGTTATAATGGTTGGTACTGGGTATAGATTCGGGGGTGTACTGGGGAAGGTAATAATGGGGAGTACCGGGGTTGGATGGGGGGCTACCAGGGAAGCTTTTCACAGTTGGTACTGGGGTTGGATGGGGGGGTTCTGGGGAAGGATATCACGGGGTGTACTGCGGTAGGACGCGGTGCACTGGGAAGGTTATGACGCTGGGTACTGGAGAAGGTTATGACGGGGGGTACTGGGGTTGGATGGGGAGAATACTGTGGTTAGAATGGGGGTTCTGGGGAAGGTTATGATGGGGGGTACCAGGGTTGGATAGGGGTGGTGTACTGGGGAAGGTTATGACGGAGGGCCCGGGCTTGGATGCGCGCTGCTGGGGGAGATTATGACGGGGTGTACTGGGATTGGATGGGGGAGTACTGAGGAAACTTATGAATGGGGTACCAGGGTTCGATGGGGGGGTACTGGGGAAGGCCATGATGGGGGGTACCACGGTTGGATGGGGTTGGAACTGGGGAGGTTATGACGGGGGGGTACTGGGGTAGGATGGGGTGTACTGAGGAAGGTTATGACGGGGGGTATTGGAGAAGGTTATGATGAGGGGTACCGGGGTTGGATTGGGGGGTGTACTGGGGAAGATTATGAGAGGGGGACCAGGTTGGATGAGGGTTGGTGTACTGGGGAAGCTTATGACGGAGGGGCGGGGGTACCCGGGTTGGATGTGGCTGTACTCCGGAAGGTTATGACGCGGGGTACCGGGTTTGGATGGGGAGAGTACTGGTGTTGGAATGGGGTTTCTGGGGAAGGTTATGATGGAGGGTACCGAGGTTAGATGGGGTGGGTACTGGGAAAGCTTATGATGGGGTGTACCGGAGTTGGATGTGGCTGTACTCCAGAAGGTTATGACGGGGGGTACCGGGGTAGGATGGGGTGGGTACTGGGGAAGGTTATGACTGGGGTACCGGGGTTGCATGGAGGGTACTGTGGAAGGCTATGACGGGGTGTGCTGGAGTTGGATGGGGGTTGTTGGAAAGGTTATGATGGGGCGTATCAAGGTTGGAGTGGGGGTACTGGGGAAGGTTATGACGGGGGGTGCTGGGTTGGATAGGGTGGGTACTAGGGAAGGTTATGGGGTGGGGGTATTGGGGTAGGATGGGGTATACTGGGGAAGGTTATGACAGGTGGTACTGGAGAAGGTTATGATGGGGCGTTCCAGGGTAGGATGGGGTGTACTGAAGAAGGTTATAATAGGGAGTACTGGATAAGGTTATAATGGTGCGTACCAGGTTTGGATGGGGTGGGGGTATTGGGGTAGGATGGGGTATACTGGGGAAGATTGTGACAGGTGGTACTGGAGAAGGTTTTGACGGGGGGTACTGGGGTTGGATGTGGCGGTACTCGCGGGGGTACCAGGGTTAGAGGGGGTGAGTACTGGGAAAGGTTATGAATGGGGTACTAGGGTTGGATTGGGAGGTAGTGGGGAAGGTTATGATGCCGGGTACCAGGGTTGGATGGGGGGGGGTGTACTGGGGAAGGTTATGATGGGGGGGGGGCTGGGTTTGGATGGGGGGTACCCGGGGAGGTTATGACGGGGTGTACCAGGGTTGGATGGGAGGGTATTGGGGAAGGTTATGGCAGTTGGTACTGGCTTTTAATGGGGGGTACTGAGGAATATTATGACAGGGGGTACTGGGGTTGGATGGAGAGTGTTATGATGGGGATACCGGGATTGGACGGGGGGTACTGGGGAAGGTTATGATGGGGTATGCTGGGGTTGGATGTGGCTGTTCTCCACAAGGTTATGATGCGTGGTACCGGGGTTTGATGGGGAGAGTACTGGGGAAGGTTATGAATGGGGTGTTGGGGTTGAATGGGGGGGGTACTGGGAAAGGTTTTTACTGGGGGTGCTGGGGTTGGATTCGGGGTAGTGGGGAAGGTTATGATGGGAGGTATTGGGGTTGGATGGGGAGAATCCTGGGGAAGGTTATGAGGGGAGTACCAGGGTTGAATGGGGGCATACTGGGGAAGGTTATAACGGGAGGTACCAGGGTTGGATGGGGGTCGTTGGAAAGGTTATGACGGGGTGTACCAAGGTTGGAGCGCTGGTACTAGGGAAGATTATGACGCGGACCTACCGGGGTAGGATGGGGTATACTGAGGAAGGTTGTGATGGGGGGTACTGGAGAAGGTTATAATGGGGGGTACCGGGATTGGATTGGGGCATGTAGTAGGGATGGTTATGATGGGGGGTACCGGGGTTGAATGGGGGTTACTGGGGAAGGCTAACTTGGGTTGGATGGGATGGGAACTGGGGATGGTTATGACGGGGGGTACTGGGGTTGGATGGGGAGAGAACTGGGGAATGTTATGATATGGAAACCGGGATTGGATGGGGGGTACTGGGGAAGGCCAACTTGGGTTGGATGGGGTGGGAACTGGGGATGGTTATGACGGGGGGTTCTGGAGAAGGTTATGACAGGGGGACCAGGCTTGGATGGCGGGGGGGGGGGGGTGTTCTGGGGAAGGTTATGACTGGGAATACCAGGTTTGGATGGGAAGAGTACTGGGGAGGTTATGAATGGGGTACCCGGGTTGGATGGGAGGATACTGAGGAAGGTTATGATGGGGGGTACTAGGGTTGGATGGGGAGAGAACTGGGGGAATGTTATGATGGGGATACGGGGATTGGATGGGGGGTACTGGGGAAGGTTATGACGGGGGTTACCGGGGTTCAATGGGGTGGTACTAGGGAAGGTTATGAGGGGCAGTACGGGGTTGGGTGGGCGATACTGGGGAAGGCTATGACGGGGCGGTACAGGGATATGACGGGGTGTACTGTGAAAGGTTATGACTGGGGGTATTGGAGAAGGTTATGATGGGGGGTACCGGGGTTGGATGGAGGGTGTTCTGGGGAAGGTTATGACAGGGGGTACTGGGTTTGGATGGGGTGAGTACTGGGGAAGGTTATGAGTGGGGTACTGGGGTTAGATGGGGAGAGTCCTGCGGAAGGTTATGAAGGGAGTACCAGGGTTGGATGGGGGTCGTTGGAAAGGTTATGACGGGACGTACTGAGGTTGGAGGGGGGTAATGGGGAAGGTTATGACGAGGGGTACTGGAGAAGGTTATAACGGGGAGTACCGGGGTTGGTTTGGGGGTTGTTCTGGGGAAGGTTATGACTGGGGGTACTGGGTTTGGACGGGGCGAGTACTGGGGAAGGTTATGACGGGGCGTACCGAGGTTGGAGAGGGGGTACTGGAGAAGGTTATAACGGGGGGTACCGGGGTTGGATTGGGGGGTGTACTGGGGATCGCTATGATTGGGGGTACCAGGTTGGATGCGGGGTACTGGAGAATCTTATGAAGGGGGGTACTGGGGTTGGATGGGGAGGTACTAGGGAAGGCTATGACAGGGTGGTACCGGGGTAGGATGGGGGTGTACTGTGGAAGGTTATGATAGGGGGTACTGGAGAAGGTTATAACGGGGGGTACCGGGGTTGGATTGGGGGGGGTACTGGGGTTGGATGGGGAGGTACTAGGGAAGGCTATGACAGGGTGGTACCGGGGTAGGATGGGGGTGTACTGTGGAAGGTTATGATAGGGGGTACTGGAGAAGGTTATAACGGGGGGGACCGGGGTTGGATTGGGGGGGGTACTGGGGTTGGATGGGGAGGTACTAGGGAAGGCT